GTGTTCCCTTCAGGTCCATGGACATCTGAGGGGACGGTTTTTCTGCTGAGTCCCTTCCGTGCTCAGAGTGGTACAGTGGGTACTTTAGGCTTTGAATACCAGTTTCAATTAGTCTTGCGGTTTTGGAAAACATACTTTAAAAAACAACCCAAAAACTCCTTTTCTGTGCAACCGCATTAAGCCGAATGCCTGTTAACCACGTGTTCCCTTCAGGTCCATGGACATCTGAGGGGACGGTTTTTCTGCTGAGTCCCTTCCGTGCTCAGAGTGGTACAGTGGGTACTTTAGGCTTTGAATACCAGTTTCAATTAGTCTTGCGGTTTTGGAAAACATACTTTAAAAAACAACCCAAAAACTCCTTTTCTGTGCAACCGCATTAAGCCGAATGCCTGTTAACCACCATGAAATGTATTTCTGCCCAGTAAATTATTTTTAATAGAGGTAATTATATATAATTTTCTTGTTTGCCAATTCAGATCAATCACACATGGGACAGAAAGGCAGCCGTCCAAATAAACATCTGAGGAGAATTATTATGAATGTGGCATGCCAGCTGCTTCAGACACTGATAGTTATTGTTATGAAATAAACTGTCTATTAGGGAGTTGGTTTTAAGCTCGGAGCTTCTGCCCTGAGCATATTAACTGAAACTTGCGGGGACTCGGGACGAGAAAAGCGGAATGATGTGGGTTTGCTGTCAGGGCCTTGGGCCCGTTACTCAGAGCTGGAAACCAGCCGAACGACTGGTGCCCAATGCCCCAGCTCCAGCCGTTGTTGTGCAAAGCTGTAAGGGGGGACCCATCGAATGACTTTTCCACTTCAGTGGGGACTCTCCAAGCACAACTCCAAGAGCGTGGACTTGCTGAGGCTTGCAGGGGCCAGCTGTGAGTTCTGCAGGCAGGACTGAGGCCCAGCTGCTGGCTTTTCCACATCTCATGTCCCCTGGGAATTGGTCTTTGCAAAGACCAGAATATCACAAAGCTAAGTGCTGAGATCACCGCACTCGCTCGAGTCTCAGCAAAGAGAGTGAGGTTGCTAAGGTTCAGGAGAAGAATCCTTTCTAGATCTGCTTTTTTTTAAAAAAAAAAACAACAACCCCTCCTTCTCCTCCCCACACCTATTATGCAAGAAGCTGAAGTTAGGCAGATAACTGACAAGCGGCGGGGAAGCAATAGCAGAGCTGAGAAGCCAGCAAGGCACGAGTCTTTCCTGCACACCAACCATCCGCACTAATGAGTTACGGCGTTTTCCAGCCGCACCACTTTCCTGGTTTTGTTCTCTCATGTGGCACGCATGGGCCTGTGCAGTGGCATGAAGACAGGCTCGCACACTCAAACCAAAGGCGTGAAGAGGCACGTACCTTTGCACTGTGGTGCTTCTCCAGTCCAGCTGCCGTTCGCCTGACACACTCGGGTGCTGGAACCAACGAGCTGGAAACCAGGTTCGCAGGTGAAATGGACTTCATGGTCCACAAAGTACTTGGTACCAAATCTTCTGCCATCCACGGGAGCATCCAGGGCAGGGCAGGACGCTGCAAAATCACAGTGGGAAATGCTGTGGTTAAATACTCGGTGTGCTAGCTACCCTCAGAGACACGGCACGCTGTACAGATACAGCTGGCTTACAGCCTGCTGCCTCGCTGCTTGGTATTGTTCCACGCTGGAAAAACAAAGCCACCCCTTTAGAGAGCCTCGGAAGCTGTGGAAACCTACAGCAGAGTTTCTAGGTTAGTTAGGCAAGACGCCCTTGTCAGGGCCAATGGAGCTATCTTTGCGGTGGTTGTCACCGGGTGATGGTAGCGCCTCCTTTGTTTAAACAGGGAAGACTTCGACTCTGACATGGTTCCTCACACAGGAGAATTTTATGAGGAGCAGCCTAGATGTGAATTTCTGAGGCCGTGCATGGTTCCGTGACTTCAACAGGGTGACTCTCAGTGAGGCGCCATTCAACTAGACAACAGCTCTCAGAGCCTGCCCCCGAAGACATGGCTTATTTTATACTTGGTATGAAATAATCCACGGAGAACAAGGGGAGGAACCATCAGCTCTCAGAGCCCATTGCCGGGCATCCTGTCCTCACGCTGCCCCAGAGCCTGTCTTTCGGTGGAAAGCGAGAGAGGAAAGTGAAGTCCTGACATTTACCCAGAGCCCACAAACGATGTGAGTGGAATGTCTGCCCCATGAAAGAATGCTCTGTCCTCAGCAAAGAAAATCAACGCGCCAGGAAGAAGTGTGTGTTCGGAGCTGGCCTGTTTCACAACGGAATTAGCTTAATGCCCTGATGGTTAGTCACGTATGAACGAAAAGCAAGACTGAGCTGCTACCGCCCAGTGGCCGTCTTTCTGACAGCCCTACATGTACTGTCTTGTAGTGCCCTGCTCTGAGTAGCCCTGGCCAGATGAAGCATTTGATATCACACAGCAGGGAAGGAGCTGCTGGGCCACATCTTTTGCGGGAATAAACGGGTGCAGTGCCACTGAAATCAGTTTAGAGCCGCCGTTCTGTTTTACATGAAACCTCTTCATTTTCCACGAGCGAGAAATGCGCCTCTGCGTTTAGATAAACCCCTAGCTAGACAAAATTGCTTTATATAAAATCGAAAAAGCACTGTCTAAGCAGGGGCTGTAGACTATCATGTAGACTGTGGGCACAGATTTTCCCCAGCCCTCCTCTTCCTGTCTCATGTGCCCCCACCCCCACCAGCAGTCCCTAATCCATGGGGACCTGCAGCCCCTTCACATCTGAGGCCATGTCTTCACTCAGTGCTGCAATTGATCTTCTGGAGTTTGATTTAGTGGGTCTAGTTAAGACCCACTAAATTGAACTCAGAGGCCTCCTCTCTCCCCTCCCCCCCGGTCAGTGGTTGGTACTACTGCTCCTGCGAGGAGTAAGGGAAGTCAACAGGAGCCCCCACTTTGGGGATGGCAGGGAAACTCAAAACAAGGTACATCGACTCCAGCTGCATAATTAGCGTAGCTAGAGTTGCATATCTAAATTCAACCTTCCCCGTCAGTGTAGACCCGGCCAAAGTGTTGTTGCAACCCTGTGTGCCAGATTGCAACACCAGACTCGTAAACGTGGCCTGCCTACATGCTTGTCATGATCGAAAGTGAGATGCCAGTGCGAGGGTGTGGGACCTGGTGCACTTGGTCACAGCACACCACTCAGACTTGGCCCGGCCAAAGAGCAGGTGGGCTGTAGCCTGGGTGGCCCCTCTGGTTCTGTGGCTGATGCGTGTAAGGATCTGATCCCAGCAGCACCTCTGGGTGTAATACTTCCTGCCACTGACACCGAAGGGCAGGAGATCTCGCGCCCACACACCCCGTGGGAACAGATCAGTTAGGTTGCTATGTCACACAATCAAAAGTTGCAAGTTTCTGCTCTATGGAGGCCCACACACGCTTAATTCGGCCTCCTTGTGTGTCCAGCCTGCCCACCTGCCCGGGGCAGGGATCCGGGGTGTAAGCCGTCCGGGGATGCCAACAGTGCTACCCACCCAGAGAGGCTCAATATGGCCACGTCCTAGCTCCAGGGCTGTCGGTAAATGCTCCCCCACCCCCACCCCGAATGCTTTCCTGGATCAAGTACAGTGCTCAGCAAAAGGGACTGTGGCAGGAGCTGGTTTGTGTCACCACCATTAATGTTTCAAACCGCTGGCAAAAGGGGAGATGGTTTTGAAAGCTCCCCCGGCAAGTGCGGAGTGACGTCCCTCGAAGACGCCGCCCTGACCAGGCGACAGGGGCTAGGAGGCTATGCCAGGCAGAGGGGCAGCAGAGAAGCATGTAGAGATGGCTGTGAATGAAAGGGCTCACATTACGTCACCCGCAGAGCGGAGCGTCGGGACCCTCGGGGTGGGGGGAAGAGTGCAGGCTCCGGAGGCGAGACAGCTCTGGGGAAAGGCTGCTGGGATTTCTCCAGCATAACATTGGCTGGATTGGGAAGGAGCCAATGCCCAGAGCTGCCTGAATTCCAAAGAGTGGGGAGGTCCCTTTTGGTGGGAAACATTTCTGGCGCCTTAGCCGAGATGTTCAAACCAGGGGCCTCAAGCGAGGATGCTGAGCAACGGCCGCTGTTGGGTTTGTGTGCATGGCACGAATAACAGCCAGAGGAAAAGTGTCCAACAGCCACTGTCCCCTTCCCACTCTGCCGGTCACAGTCCCTCTCTCCCTCTCCCTGCCACGCCTGCCTTCCCCCGGCGCCCACTCCTCACCCTCGCGCTAGGGGCGGGGGCAGGGAAGCTCCTCTCCCTCATGGGCACACGCCTGTCTCCACAGAGACATGGCACACATGTAACGGAAGAGGGGAGACTGAGCCAGTGTAGCCGAGCAGGCGCAGGTGTGAGTGTATATTACAGGTTAGTAATATCGGCAGGAGAAATACAACATGACCCGGCTGCTAATGCTGTGGCCAAACAACCCCCAGGAAAGCACCCTGTGGTGGAAGGGAGGTGGACAGTGACCGGCAAGAAGAACGGAGGGGTAACATTCGCAGAGAACAGCCTTTGGCAGTTTAATTTCAGTTGGAGCTGGGTTGAACCTAATGTGGACTTTCCATGGACATCCAGGAGATCTGGATCGGGCCCCTTGGAAGATCAGAATTAGTGCTATGTTGGACTTGCTCAGGAGCTCACTGGAAGGGCTCCTGGAAGAGTTCAAGTGGCTTGTCGGCTGAGTTCGTAAAGTGACCACACCTGGACCGTACGAGTGTGGAGCCAACGGGCCCGGGTCATCAGGAGGAGCCTAAAGCCAACTGGCTCTTAGCTAGGGCTGTAGAGCAGACGTCACTCGCCTTTCCCAGTGCCTCTGGCTTACACAAGTACAGATCACATCTCTCCTGCAAATGCTGTGGTCGGAGCCTTTGTTCTGTGCGCACGGTTGCTCTGTAGGCAAAAGAGATTTTGATGCAGAAGCTCCGGGGTGACCATCCGGGAGCAGGGTCACATCCAGTCCCGTCTCATGGGCGCAGTAGTAGCTATTCCCAGAAAGACTCCTAGAGCGCTAGTCATAGGAGAGGTCTCTACAGCAGAGAGATGGGGCAGGATTTTGGGACTGTCCTTCACAAAACTCCATGGTCACTGTTGTCACAGGAGTTAAAGAAAGAAGGAAAAAGAGAGAGAGCGCGCGAGAGAGCAAGAGAAAGAGCTGCTCATATGCCGCGCTCAACATAAAGTGTTGGCAGATGAGACTGTGTGACGTTCACAAATTAGCAGGACCAATGAAGTTATTGTTGTTGCTCACTGAATGCTACCGCTCTGGATTGTGACACGAGGCTACTAACCGAAAGCAAAGGTCAATTAAAAACCGGGAGGAGGAATTATAAAATGCATAGGGCATGGTTTACAAATGACTCCCTAAAAGCCAACAGACCAAATGCCTTCTCAGTTAAACTGTAAGAAAACATTGCCCGGCACGAATACGCAAGGGGACATTATCTAAACCAGACCAAGTAAACTGGAAGATGCATTTGAAATAACATCCATTTTATTATTTGCCCCCTTCCTAACAAGCTTTCCTGACTGCTTCTGCACCCTGAATGGATGTTTTTAGGGAATGATTCATAAGGTCTCCAAGACCTCTCTGCTTAGTGGTAATAGCTAGATTAGTCCCCGTCATTTTGTATGTATAGAGGGGAATATTCACGTGGATAACTATACTAAGGATGTGCATTACTTTGTGTGTATCGACATTGAACCACTCTGCCACTTGGTTGCCCTGTCACCCAGTTTAGTGAGATGCCTTCGCAACTCTTTAACTTGAATCATTTTCAATTATCTGCACACTTTGCCACCTGACAATTGACCTCTTCTTCCAGATCATCTGTGAATATGGTGAACGGCTCCAGTCCTGATCCAGATCCCTAGGAGGTCCTGCTATTTACCACCAGTGGTCCCACGGACTACCGGGCAGGCTTGCTTTTGATGCATTTACAAAAGGTTGTTGTTACCAGAAAAGACACAAATTCAGATTCTTTTTTGACCTGCATAACGATAACTACCGTCACAGGACCTAACCACATAAACCACCACATCAGAGGCTCATATAACTGCACATCCACCAACGTGATCTATGCCAGCAATGCCAGCCATGCCCCTCTGCCATGTACATTGGCCAAACTGGACAGTCACTACGAGAACGAATGAATGGACACAAAGCAGAAACCTGTTGGGGAACATTTTAACTCGCCCGGGCACTAATTAATGGATCTTGAAGTCACTGTATTGTTTCAGGCCAATTTCACAGGGAGGCCTCAGAGCTCAACTTCATTTACAGGTCTGATTCCTTCCACAGAGGTATGGACAAAGCCATTGGGCGGATGGCTGGCTACATTCCACATCCTAATGACATAAAAAAACAAACAATGGGGACTTGAGAACACTTAGTTCCCTCTCTATCCGCTTTAGCATGGACACTCCAATTGACTATTCTTCTCCCTTTTCCCCCTTCTTTTTCCTTCTCTCCCTCACCTCTGCTCTTTATTAAGGGCACCAACTACATCCCCCTCCCCACCCCCCCAAGGAGATATGCAAATTTGG